AACTCCCAGTCGGGGCACATGCCCAGGTTGTGGGCTTGATCCCCAGGAGGCAGCCGACCAATGTTACACTCTCACATGGATATTTCTCTCTCTCCCTTCCTCTATCTCGAAAAATAAAAAACCAAATAGAAGTGAATTTGAGGTCACAAAGCACAGAAAAGGGGCAAAGAGAATATAACTTTAGGAGCTCTGAGAAGATGTGCTTTTGGATTTCCTGCTGTGAGCTCCGGGTGCAGCACCCAGGGATCCTACGGAGGAGGCTGGTCTGGAAACTCCTGGCCCTAAGAGGAGATTCCGGCCCAGGGCTCAGTCAGAGGTTCTGTTTTTTCAAACTGCTACGACTTGGTTCATTCAAGTGACCCACACAGGCTGCAGGCAGCTGAGCTCGGGCCTTACTTCTGGCCTCTTTGAAGACCTGCAGAGCCTCGGGGTCCACCTTCCTCCTGCCTCTGGACTCGGGGCCCAGGGACTCCCACTTCACCAGGTTCAGGTTGGCTCCGAACTCCACGAGCAGACTCACGAAGGCCGCTTCACAGCCATGGCGCAGCACGGCGTCCATGACGCACCCCGGGGAGCCCCTGCAGAGGCCCTGCGTGTTGACGGGCCCGTTGCAGTTGAAGTCGGGGTTCGCACCCGCCTGCAGCAGCAGCCTGAAGCACTGGAGGTTGTGGTAGGCAGCGCTGATGTACAGGGGACAGACCACCAGGGAGGTGAGGCGCCGGGAAAAGGGGGGCCGGACGTCAGGGAACACGTGGTGGTTGATGTCAACATCGGCCCCGTACCTGCAGGGAGACACGGGGCGGCGGTCAGACCTCGCAGATTCCGGCCCACCCTAGGACACAGGCCCAGACCGAGTACCCTGAGGAGACGGGCCTGAAACCCACGAGCACCCCAAGGAGACGGACCCGAACCCCGTGAGCCCCCGTGAGCACCAGGGGGCACCACAGATCACAGCAGTCTCGCTACTTCCAGCAGGCGAGCAGCAGTCAGGAGCCTGTAACCCACTCACAAATTCTCGAGGGAATTCTTTCAAAGCTTTAAAGACCCAACAATCCCACCGCTACTTAAACTATCGAAAGAAGGGAAACTTCCACACGTATCTCATGAGGTCACCAAAACAATCCCCAAACCTGATGAAGGCCACACCATCGAGCAAACCTACCAACTAATTTCACTTCTGAGTATCAAGGCAGCTTCAATAAAGCGTCGGCAGAATGAACCCAAACACACTAAGAAACCAAATGCCAGCCCTCACGGGGCCCCTGCAGGGCTGCAGGCAGCTCCGACGTTAGAAGCCCTGTTCACACCCCACCAGCTTCAGAGAACCGAGGGGAAATCACGACTCTGCAGAGGCAGGAGAAGGCACAGTTACGCACACTTAAAAACACGGTGAGACAGTAAGCGGTGGGTGTTTCCTCCACACGATGAAAACACTTCCCACCCAGAGGTCAGACGCTCCGGGACGTTCCCGCGGGCGCGGGGCCTCCCTCAGCCACCTCCCGCCCTCGTTCTGGGGCCCTGTAGGGGCTGGTGCCGAGAGCGAGAGACGGAGGAGCTGGTTAAGGAAGAGGCAGGGCCCTGCTTTCAGAGGACGGCCTGCCTGGGGAGCCCGCAGGATTGCGCAGGTGCGGCCAGACGCAGCGAGGCGAGGCGGCCAGTTGTGAACAGCAGCCTTCGCACAAACAGCCACAAGCCACAGCGGGAAAGACGCTCAGGAGGCGAAGAAAATGTTAGAGTGAGTCAGCCGAGCAGGAACTCAGAGCGCGTGTCCGAGGTCTGCCCCGACGGTGGGGCCAACTGCACGGGCCCCTCACACTCGGGCTCTTCTCAACACGCACCCTGCTCCGCGCCCCGGGCTCTGCATCCTGGCCTCTGCGCCCCGGGCTCCGCACCCCGCTCTGCACCCTGGCTCCGCGCCCCGGCCTCTGTGCCCCGGGCTCTGCACCCCGTTCCGCACCTAGCTCCACATCCTGGCCTCTGCGCCCCCGGCTCCGCGCCCCGGGCTCCACATCCTGGCCTCTGCGCCCCCGGCTCCGCGCCCCGGGCTCCACATCCTGGCCTCTGCGCCCCCGGCTCCGCGCCCCGGGCTCCACATCCTGGCCTCTGCGCCCCCGGCTCCGCGCCCCGGGCTCCACATCCTGGCCTCTGCGCCCCCGGCTCCGCGCCCCGGGCTCCACATCCTGGCCTCTGCGCCCCCGGCTCCGCGCCCCGGGCTCCACATCCTGGCCTCTGCGCCCCCGGCTCCGCGCCCCGGGCTCCACATCCTGGCCTC